TTTTTCTTTTCTTTTTTTGCATTTGTCCTTACTGAATTTAATTCTATTTATTTTGGACTATTTTCCTAATTTATCAAGGTCACTTTGAAGCTTAATTCTGCCCTCTGAAATGTCTGCTACTCCACTCAACTCGCTGTTGTTCACTAGTGTACTAAATGTGCTCAATTCCATCATCCAAGCCATTAAGAAATATGTAGAACAGTGCTGGATCAAAGACAGACCCCTGAAGAAAACCCACCTGATATCCTCTCTGAATTTGACATTGAGCTGTTGATGACTGGCTCTTTGAGCATGGTTATCATAAACAGCTCCTGGGAGTCTGTCTTAATCTTCTTGGGAGATGGGGATTCTGTTGTCTTGAGTTGACAAAGTGCTTGGATCTTGAGGCAGATACGTCTTGCTGCTTTCCAGGTGCCCTTTCAAACTGATTACGGAGGGTCGTGTTGAATTTTCAGAGGTGTCCTTGAAATACCTACTGCACTTTGACTGAAACTGGGCAGGAGAAGGAGAAGAATCCTCTGCTGGGTGTTATAAATTCAACAAATGCATGTGATCTTTTTTTTTTTCTTTTTGTAGTGGAATGCAGTAGCTCTCTGGGCCTGGGACATTGTGGTTGATAACTGTGCCATTTGCAGGAACCATATCATGGATCTATGTAAGTAAAAAGAGAGGGGGGAGTTGGCAGGTTGATTAAAAGTGTGATGCCCAGCCAAACAGTACCCTTCATTAATGTGCATTTCTGGGAACACAGCTTTCAACTAGAAACTTTTTCTTGAAACCCACAGTTGGTAGGTTATCTTGTGAAAAACTCTTAGCTGCCCTGATCCATTCTAATACTCTCTTCATCACCATGTTTCCTTTTTCCCCTCTTTTTTTAAAAGTGGGAGGGTGAGGGACTAAATGTGATATCATACAAGAGATGATTTTAGTTAGGCAGAGGCTTGAAATGGAACTGAAGGTAAATGATGATGGGCCAGGATAGAGATGGGATCTGAGTAGAATTGTTTAGGAATTGTGCAAGACCTACTGAGACTGAATATCAGTTGTTTCATTAAACTGGTGAGGCTGGAGACAGGATTCTTATCTGTGATTGACTGCCCATGGGTAGGGTGGACCACTAACCTCCATCAGCCAGTCACTGTACAAAAAATACTCTGCATGAGTTAGCTAATGCTATTATAATCTGGAATTGTGTGGTAGATATCCAGAGGAGTGCAAATTGTTCTTTTAAACAGAAAGCAAACAATCAAATTTGTACTGTACAAAAATTTGCTTAAATGTTTACCCTACTTTATCTGGAAAGATTATACAATATACTTATGTTGATGTTTATTTGTAAAGTTACTGGTTTTAAAACAGCTGTATACTGGAATTCAGTGGAAAGGGTTCCACCATTAAATTGTGTGCATGCAGATCAGTCACTGACCTTTCAGTTTCATTCAGAAATCCTTTGAGTGCCAAAACAGTGAGTCTCAAAATTGAGAGGACATTGTGATAGGTGAAAATCTAATTATCTATGCTTGCTTGAGGTTGGTGGGTAGAACACCTTTGGACATGCCCTAAGTGGGTGAGTGAATAAAATGTTATAAGATTGGTTTTGCTTTGTCTATCTGTCACCATTTATAGTAGCTTCTCTTCCTTCCTCTCCCCCTCCCCAATAAAAAAAACCTTAAATAAATCATGACTATAGCATGTGATCCTGAATGATTAGGGCTTGGTGCCTGTGGTAGATCTTCCCCTGTTTTAAAATATTGTCCTACCTATGTCATTGAATCCACTGAAGAAGATCTATGAATAAATGCACACACAGGAAATCTGTCTCAAAACAAGAAAGTCTCCCACTTATAATAAATGTGGGTAAGAGATCCGTTTGCCTCCACCTACTCCATTCCAAAACTGTTCTGCTTCCATTTAAAAGTTTCTGGTACTTCAGTGAAAAGGACTAACTGTTGATAAAGTGGGTTCTTTCTGGCTGTCAGACTTGCACATTTTGGCAAGCTGCTTATTCATGCCTCTGTTTATCCTTGCTTAATAAAGAGGGAGACTAACACTGTGAGATAGGCAAGTGAGGATTAATTCATGTTTGTAAAGTGCTGTGAGGGTCTTGGATGTGGAAAGATAGGCTGATAAAGCTTATATTATAACTTTAATCTTCTTAAAGTCAATATATCTTGAGGAAATGTAGTCAAAGGGTATGCTGTGCTCAAAATGAATAAATTACTGTAGACCAAGGGAAACCCATTCAATAAGCTCTTATAAAAATAAAATGCTAGAAAAAGGACACACAGCTAGCAGGTAACCAAAACTAGTAATGTAAGTTACTGATAGGTGTGTAACAACCTCTATTTTATTATTTATTCCATTGAATTATGAATAAATGCTAAGGCTGTGCAAAATGGGTGTGTTTTGATCCAGTTTTGGATTTGGCCGTTTCGGAGGACAGCGATTCATTTCGGTGTCTCTGATCACTGTCCTGTTTAGTTTAAGCCGAACCTGTCTTGGAGATTCGGCTCCACCTAATCTCTTCTGAATCTGTTTTGAACGGGCTGCAAGGGAATCTCTGTGCAGACCTACCCAGCCGGGCCCCAGTGGGGAGAAAGATGGGGTCATAGGTGGCTCATCCGGGGGAGGGGGAGGGCCACTGCCCTCTGTGCAGGCAAGGAGACCGCCATGTGGATCTCTGATCCCAGTCACACTGGGTTGTGGGGCAGGGAAGCAGCACAGAGTGGCAAGCAAGACAGGTTGTGTGGCAGGGATTCCCCAGCCCCGGCTTGTTTTCCCCAGCTCTCTGATCATTTACCCAGGTCTTCCTGTGGGGCATAGACCCCCAGATCTGTGCTCCCTAGGTCTTCCTGTGGGGCACAGACCCCCAGATCTGTGCACCAGGTTTCAGCAGGCTGCTGCTGCAGGTTGGGGCCAGCGGTAGCCCCACAGTCTTCCAGGTGCTTAGCATGGGCTGTGCAAAGCAGCTGCCACTGGCCCCAGCCTGCAGCAGCAGCTTGCTGAACCCCCGCGTGCAGATCGGGATCCTGCGCCCCCCGGGAAGAGATGGGGAAATGATCAGAGAGCTGGGGAATTGAACTGAGAGCTAGATGTCAATATCAGAGCAGTCCTCCATCCCACCTCTTTCCCCTCCCTCTTCATAGATTTCATTAGTTTTTGTTTCCCTGAAAGCATGGCTCCAAAACTCCAAAATTCTCTGAAACATTTCGGAGCTTTCCAATTTGCTTCAAAGCTGTTTTGGAGCCTTCCATTTTGATTCCGATTTGGCATTTCAGGCGCCGAAATGGCCCAAAACACCTCTGAAACAAAACAGCTGCCGAAATTTTGCACAGCCCTAGTAAATACTGGTACAAGTCAGTGAAATGTGATATTACTTATTCTGCTTATCTGCCCAGTAGATACTTATCGTTTCCTGTAATGGAAGCAGGCATGCGATATTTGCTGTAGTCTGTCACTTATTTTTGAGAAGCTATGGAGAAATGGGTAGTAATACCTGAGAATATTTAGCAGTCGGTTGACTAGTGCCAGAAGCGGACGTTATGGGGAACAGGGGAGGTGGAGAAATGATTCTGACTGATATTGCCTGGTGAGAGGTATCTAACACTCATTGCCACAAGACAATGAAGGAAATATTAGGGGAAACTTCCTTAAAAATAGTAAACAATAAGTAGCTACTAATTTAGTAAAAGTGAACCATGGTAAAGTGTGTAACAAAAAATGAATGAAGGGAGTGTAGATAAAATACACTTTTTGGTAAAGCTCTTAATTGTATTTAAGAAATGTACTTGCTACTGGCTTGGATAGAAGCTCAGTTGTAAAAAGGTTGAACTGTAAATGTAGAGTTGTAATTGATGGTATAGCAAATGGGGGGAAATGTCTGTCTGCTGTAAAGATTGGTGTTGGGTCTAGATTTATTTAATGTCTTTAACAATCTGGAAGAAGGAAGTAAACCACACTTTTTAATTACATTTTCATATATAAGCTGTGAGGGGATGGGGAAATTGGAGAACTAAGTTGAATCATGTATAGGAAACAACAAAATGAGATTGTTTGACAAAATGGAAGCTAGCATTTATATCAGTTGACTTCCCTCACCAAGTGTTTTCAGTGTCGAGGACAAATTTGGAAAGCAGAAATATTTGGAGGGCTGAATAATAGGAAACTAAATGTAAATATTACATGCAAAGAAATTACATTAATAAGATGTTGAGCTTATGAAGTCAGACACTCAAAAGTTAACATTGTTCGCCTACTTTTCCTTTAGACATAATGAAATTGATAATATGAAATATTTATTTTTTTCTGCATTTTTTTTTTTTTAGTGCACAAAATGGATGAGGTACACTTAATTTGAGCAGCTTTTTGAGATATTGCTTTCTCTTCATTGATCAGTGGGTAACCCCTGCTTTATTAACTGCCTGAAATGCAAACTTTACTCTGAAGACAGAATGATTGGATTCCCTTTTGGGCCTTTTCAGTTGTTCTCATCACTACAGTATCTGAGGGCTTTACAGACACAAAAGGATTCTGTTACAGAAAGCCTATGAGATGAGGCATTCTTTCCATGAAGAGGTGTTAGCCCCATTTTACAAATGTGGAGAAACGGGACACAGAAAACAAGATCAAAAGTACTAACTGATTTTGGTGGTAGCTTTTTGGGGAGTTGGGGGGGTGGCAGAATGAGGGTGCTCAGTTTTGAGATACCCAAGACCTGTTTCCCTTCCCTTCCTTGACATACTTTGAAACATGAGCAGCCACATATTTTAGCATGATTCCCATTGACTTCAGTTGCAGTTGTGAGTTCTGGGTATTCACTGTTTCTGTACATCATATTGTAAGGTAAGGCACCCAGAGAAGAAACTTAACCAGTGACAACTTGTTTTAAAAAAAATCTGAACTTGGCTTAGATGAGCTGACTAATATCAGCATCAACTGTGGCACAGGCAGCAATGGAAGATGGTTCTCCAAAACAGCATTGACGTTCCTGAACCACAAGATCATCTTTTCTCTTCCTGCAGTCCTCTGCCTCATTTGCTCCACACCTTCTGACTCTTGCAACAAAGAAAACAGGTTTCCTAAAGACGAGTGTGATTCATTTCCAGAGCAGGTCTGTCCTGTGGACTGAAAGAAGTAGAGCGCTATTGAAAACTAGGTCATGATTGTGTAATAAATTACATTTATCAACTACATATGCAAAAGGAAGCTGTGTTAAGGTTGTATCTTTTTTCCTTTGAAAAAAGAAAAAAGCCATCTTGGCATATGGGCAGCCACATGGGTCATCAGTTGGTTTGGAACCTGTTTGTCCATCTATAAATATCTGCCACTTGATTTGGGTAGGTTCTAACAGTAATAAGTTGTCACTTCCTATCTAGACCAGCACTGGGGGGAAGTGGGGGGAGCACCATCTTGCCGGAGGCTTTCAGATGTTTGCTGTGCATAACAGAAAGGCAAGACTCAAATCCTAGGTGTTAGCCCAGACACAAGAAAGGGATATGCTCTAGTCAGTGTGCACAGGCTCCTCTACCAGACTTCTCCAAGCTTGACCCATTCTGTCACATTCTGTTCAGCCTGTCTCTGCTTCTCTCTTCCTACCTGTGGTTCCTTGTCCTAGCCCCAGTCTCTACTCTTCAGGTTTTTCATCCTAGTCTCAGTTTTATTGCTCAGCAAGTTCTGGTCTCTCTCTTTAGACTCCCTCTATCCCTTAGTGTCTTTCCTCAGGAGCCCACACTGTGTTTATCAATAAAATGATTAAGGTGTTGAAGGTGCTGATTCATGGGAAAAGACTAATTGAACAGAGTCCAGCATAGTGGTTAGCTTTCTCAATAGTGACTAAGAGTGGAACATAACTGTCTACAAACATTTTGAGGGAGTCGTATCAAGAGGAAATATTAAGCATGGTACAGAGATACATGGGTAGAAATCATGGCATTAAAAGAAAAATAATCTAAATATGAGGAAAACATCTGCTGAAAATATACTGGAATAGTCTTCTGGGTGGGGAAGGGTAAAGGGAAAGGAGCAGAACTTCTCTGTCATATCTTAACTAAACTGGACAAAGCAATTAACCTTATTGGTACATGTTTCCTATAAGTACTGCAATGAGCCCTTTAAAATATTCAGCAGAAGTACTCTAGGTCCAAATAACATTTGATAAGTTTTAGATTCTCAAGGGCAGGAGAATTCTTGCTTTAGATCATCATCCCACACCTGAGAAGCTGGGTGGAATCTTTTGCCCAGTGTGGCCACATTTAGTATTTGGCTAACAACAAGCAGAAGCCAAAAATCCTCCTTTAAATACTGAAGTAGTTTCTGGCCTATTTGGTCTCTTGCTATTAGACATTTCTATAAACTTGAGGAAACTGACACAGAATCATACTTACTAGTGAGCAGGTGTCAATTTTAGTTTGTTTTAAGCCCTGGTCAGTGGATGATAATTTAGTTAAATCCTTTGTGCCTCAGTGGTGTAATGTGGAGCCTTCTGATACGGCAGCTTGATAGGTGATGGTTGGTAACACCAAAATACTTATTTTATACGTTTGCAAAGTCCCTGAAGGACTACAAGTGTCCATACAAAAGCCATTTCTTTAATTCCTACCTATAACAAAGATGCTGGAGAAAGAAGTGTTCATGTTTTATATCTGGATCTTTCCTCTGGAACATCTGAAGCAAACACAAATTAATGGACAGATGTAGCTTCTTTCCAGTCCAGGCACTGTACTTGAATAGAGACAGCCACCCAGAAATAAGCCTGAAATAAGATATTCCTTTTTCTTGGACACCTGATTTCAATAGACTTTGTACAGGTCTGTATGGATGATCATGCATCTAGTTGTTCTAAATCTCCCCTTCATTTTGCCCTTAGCCTCAAGAAATGAGCATAAACTTAAGTTAAAGAAGGTCTCATACTTTTTAGAGGTAATGAACCTTTTTCTTCTAAGATGAAAGGTGATCAGGGTTCTAATTTTGTTTGGAGGGTAGGGATATGGTGATGGCAGTGGTGTCTTACTGTTCCTTATCTGGCAAAAGATCTGTCACCACAGAAGAAATATGTTTAAAACTATGGGCTTGACTTTCATTGCTTTGCAGAATCATTCTTTGAAAGAAATGCATTTAAAGCATTGATTGAAACCGATTACTATCCCTGATTGTAGGGAAGGGAGAATGCTTCTGCTTGCTACTTATTTTTGTTCCAGATAACTTGAGTTGCGAGGAATCAGATCTAATGTGGAAGATCTGGTTACCAGACTTCCTTTCTGAGATTGACCTCTCTTCACCATCACTGTTGCCTGAAGTTCTTTGGATATATTTTATTATGGCCATTAAAGTAATATTAAGTGATGTTTTGTACCATTTTATTTTTTTTTAGATGTGTTAGTATAAGGCAAGGCTAGAAAGGGTGTGGCCAAGCTTCAACATCTCATGAGTAAGGTTGCATACCTGTTGATATTTACAGACCTAGTGTCTTGGACAAGAGGAAGAATTTAATGCTAAAATATGTCAGCTAGGAAAGATTTAGTTAAATCTTTACAGCTCTGACAAAACCACTCATCATTCAAAAGGTACTTAAAGCCAAACACACCTTGGTATGACCAAATTAGAAATGCTTATCTTTAAAAATTGGCAAGCAGCCACATGTCACTTATATTAATCCCCACTACCAAAAATAATCTAGCGGAAAGTGGGACAAAGTATCTAACTTAATTCAGACTGATCAATCCCAGTGTTGGGCAAAATCTTCATTAACCTATCATTTCTCAGCACTTTTTGATGTAATGAATCCAAAAAAAACCAAGCAGCCTCTATATATTTCATTTTGCTCAAGCGTAGAGGACTCCTGGTTGATGGCTACAAGACAGTTGGCCATCATGAGTCCCATTTGATTCTGTTTCCACAGGTATAGAATGCCAAGCTAACCAGGCATCAGCTACCTCTGAAGAGTGCACTGTTGCATGGGGTGTCTGCAATGTAAGTAAACTGTTTTACTGATCAGCTATTGTGAAAAGATTGGTGCCCCTCTTTCCCATGTCTCAAATCAGAATGGAGAAAGTTAGTTAATCAAACAATATGGTCTAAAATAATTCACTAGGAGAGCAAAATGTCAAGGTCTGGATTCTCAGTGAGGCATGGAGAAGCCAGGAAGAGAAAAATAGAAAAATAAGGATTGAGAATGTGGTGGAGGATATATACTTCCATTGCTCAAATTTTTGCCAATATAGGAATTTAATTTTGAGTATATGATTTATTTTTGAATATTCAGGGGACTAGCTCATACTTCAGAGTTGTCCTACCATCAGAGACAAGCATTATTTAGATGTGAATGCCCAATTATTCTTGATATGCAGGGTTTTGAGGGATTGGAGGTTATTTTGGTGACTAGAGTGTTTCCTCTTGATCTCTAAAGACAAATATCATTTGTAGAGACCTACCAAATTCATAGCAGAAGTAGAGTATGCAGTGGCTCCTTTAATCTTGCATGTTCCTGTGCATGTACCTTGTGCCCTACCCCCCCTGCTGATTACCAGAGGACCCTGCCACGCTCTACTAATCAGCAGAGAAGCTAAAACCACGGTTGTAAACATGCCGCTGTTTTTGCCTCCCCTATCTAAGCAGCAAAGAGTAGGGCTGTCTGGGGCCCCTCAGCCAATCAGTGGCGGGAGGCAAAAAATAATCTCATATTTAAAACTGCAGTTTTTGCCACTCTGCTGATCAGAAGCGAGCTGCAAGCAGGGCCTCTCCACCAATCAGCAGGGGCACAGGGGAACCTCCAAGATTTAAGGAACCACAGTGCACCCCACTTCCACTATTAAGTCGGTCTGAACTCAACAAGTATGCAAGCCATCCCGGCCATGAGCTGAAGGGGAAAGGCTAACTAAAAGGGCTGTATGAAGGCACTACTGCTTGTATGCTGGGCCCTATCTCATGTTACAAAACTCCTGTGTACTGGACCAAATTATACTGTGGGAGTATCTAAGAATGTCTCAAGCCTGATTTTCTTTTTTTATTGGTTGTAAACCAATAAAAAAAAAAAAAGGAACAAAGGCAGAATTAAATCATGTTTTTAACAGTGTTGGGGCACTTGGGTGTCAGAACTGGGATTCCCAACATAATCTTTTTTTTTTTTTTTTTTTTTTTA